CCCACTCATAGCATTTCTAGATTAAAATGCTAGTCTACAAGATCTTCAAACAGAAACAAGTGCATATTTTTAAAGTGCTGATTTTTGTAATATGTGAGGTTATATTACATCGAACCGTATTTTTCCTTAACAAAACTCATTACGCCATCTGAAAGTACTGCCTACTCTTTCCCTAATTAATTAATTATTTTTAAATATAGTTTTTCTACTTTCCGCACCCCTTACCGGAAAGTTGCACTTTTCCCCAGGTTTACTTTTCGCACGCTCGACAGTGCGGAAAGAAGCAACTTTCTGCAAGCTTCTAGATAATTTTTTTTCTACAAAGTCTTAGGTTAAAAGTTGGTTATCTTTAGGCGAAAATAAAACCGTTCAAGACGGAAATTGTTCAGACTTATTAGGTTTAAATTACTATCTATATTTTGACTTATGGGTGGGCTTGTAGAAAAAATATTGTATACCTAACACTCGCAGAAAGTGTTTGACCGAACTCCGCTAGGCGTCGTTCGTTCAACGGCAGTCGCGTGCGGAAAAGTACTTTCCGCACTAGTTGGGTAAATAACTATTTTCGTCTTCTAGAAATCTTTATTTAAAATTTCTGAAAGAGGAGAAAATATATTGAAAACATTTAAAAATGATTTTAAAGACTAAGAGTGGTAATTTTTTATGGAAATTCCATCATGTATTTATAACGACTTCTGTGAATAATCAATATTTCTTGATGTAAAAAAACTAGTTTTGAGTTGGAATTTTTTAAGGTCGGATTCGTATTCAGCGCATCAAAAACCTTTAAAAAAGTATGACTAATATGTGTTTGGTTAAATTTTGTAGATCTGTGGTACTTAATGTAATACTGATTTTTTAATAATCCCTAATGAAGGCCTATAACCAATATATTAACTTCGAGATTAACTTGTTTTGATAATAATTTATTTTTTTATAGCAAGTTATTTTTTGGAAGCTCCCTTCAGCTGGGGACATTTTTCTTCCTGAACCTGTACATACTCTTTTAAAATGAATTAGTCAAAAATTACTAATTGTCATGGTAAAAAAGCATCCACTTATAATTCTAGACAACAGCAATTTGTATCCCGGATATTTAGCACATAATTGATATATAATATGAATATGTCGTCAAAAGTTTTAAAAGTAGAACAGTTTTTGAGATATAATTAAATTTCCATATAATATGGATTTGCCTGTATCTCAAAAAATGATATACTTTCACTAGTTTTTGAGCTAAAAAATTTACATAGGAATTGACTGTTAAATGTGCGGGATACAGATTGCTGTGGACTAAAGTTATTAGTGGCTGCTTTTTTACTTTGACAACTAGTTATTTTTAACTAATTCATTTTAGGAAAGTTTATTTTTTGGTAAAGTTTTTTGGAATTAGAGGTCCCCTGTAGCCAAGGGCTTTCAGATTACATTTTTTTTAATCAGTACTTAAATATTTATATACATATTTTGATGAAGCTTTTTGGCAAAGGATATTTGCAGATGAGAAAAGACAGTTTGTCATGTTTTAGTTTTTAATATAAAATCTATAAAATAATAAATATTATAATCCACTGAAACTGTGTCCATTGGTTAATGTTGTGTTAACAAAAGTTTTTGCGAAGTTAAGCGTGCCGCATCAGGGCCATTAGCAGTCGAGCTAGAAAACGTTTCCTGCCACCGCAACTTCCAGAGAGGATCCTCTCAAAGAGAAACCGAAGGTGCCGACGCAGCCACGGACCGTGCAACACATGACGGCGCGCCGCTGCGTCGGGTCCTGAAATGTGGGGCAATGTGCCGTTGCCGGTCACCGGCAGCCGGTGACGCGCTACCAATCGATAGTCGCTTAGTATTCAGTTTTGAAAGCGATGGCACCGGGAAGCAGTGTTGCCAGGTGAAGCATAACAAAGAGGGGTACCAAGTTCTCTATTTAATGGTATTTAATGGTACACCCAAGTTCTCCATTAAATTACCAATAGTCTAGTCTAGGAAGTTTTCTTGATCGTAAGTTTATTATTCTCAAACTGTCAAACCAAGAAGTGTTATTTAGAAATTCAGGAAATCACAACAACTTTTGCGCCGCGCAACTTACGCGTTTCTTTGGTTTGACATTACAAACGTTTATTAAGCCGCGTCCAGATTTGTACCGCGTCGCGCAACCGTACCACGTCGCGAGCCACGTTGCGAACCACGACGCGAATTTCATCCCGCAACCACGTACTCCGCCTCGAACAACATACCGTACCTCGGGTTGCAACCATTGCCGCGTTCCAATTTTTAGTCAGATTTTAAAATGGATATCGCTGCAGCAGCGTACATTTATATTCATTTCGCTTTATCAACTAAAAAGCGAAAACAAAAAAGGCGGTGGTGGCAAACAGAAATATTTAGAAATAGACCGAAATATGGTGCGAACAAATTGCTTGCAGATTTAAAGATGCAAAGAATTAGTGGTCAATATAAAAATTTCACTCAAATGTCAACAATAGATTTTGAATATCTTCTTAATGCAATTGGGCCCAAAATAGGAAAGCAAGATACCAAGTTTCGAAAAGCAATCTCAGTGCAAGAAAGACTAGCTGTAACATTGATTTTGCCTATATAAACTAATTAAAAGTAGAATATTTTCTTCGGTCCACTCCATTTCAAACACAAAATAAAACTAAACAAACAAAATTGTCCTTCTGCCCGTCCAGACTTATTCAACGTCGTCGCATACCAATCCTTTGATGTTTCGTCAGTTTACCGACAAGTCGTGGATCGCGACGTACCTCGAGCTGCAACGCTTATTAGGTTCGCGACGGCGCACAGTTGCCAATTTTGATCGAAAAACGAACTTTTTTCATAACTTTTTTAAATGTTGACCAATTTATATGAAATTTTGTTTACTTACTTTAAAAAAACTGCAGAATATACTGGTACATATATTTTTTAGCTTACTTATTTCCAACAACCCTTTACAGGGGGGTTGCAAATTTAATATTGATCAATTTGTATGAAATTTTGTATACTTACCGAAAAAGGGCCGTAGAATACAGTGGTATATATACATTTTTTACTTAACCTATTTCCAACCCTTTACAGGGGGTTGCAAATTTAATATTGACCAATTTGTATGAAATTTTGTATACTTACCTAAAAAGAGCCTTAAAATACAGTGGTATATATATTTTTTTACTTAACCTATTTCCAACCCTTTACAGGGGGTCGCAAATTTAATATTGACCAATTTATATGAAATTTTATATACTTACCTAAAAAGAGTCATACAAAACAGTGGTAATTATGTTTTTTACCTAACTTATTTCCAATTACCCTTTACAAGGGGTTGCAAATTTAATATTGACCAATTTATATGAAATTTTATATACTTACCTAAAAAGAGCCGTATAACTTAGTGGCAAATATTTGTTTTACCTAACTTATTTCCAACAACCCTATAGAGGGGGTTGCAAATTTACATTAAACTGTTATCGATTCACTGCAAAAGCTTATGCACAATTAAACAATAACACAAACCAACAATTAGATATAGGTACTCTTTTACTTGGTATACCTAAGAACTCGAAATTAGAAGGTAATTTTAAATTTAATATAGTATTTTACCTTAATGAAAATAAATTATGTTAGACAAAAATTATTGTTGTTTATCATAATTTTCATAATCTTGCATAATAATACCATAGTTATTATTTTGCAGGTAAACAAAGTAACGATTTAAATTTTTTTACAGATCCACCTTAACCTACTACTACCGAGCAAATCTAAAAATTACATTAAAAAGTATAGGGTTTGAGGAACATTTTAGTATAATACTTAACCTAAATTATTTTGTATTCATAGCCATAAAATAGTCTCAAAGTTAAAAATCCACAAAAAACAGCTTTATCTTTATCCCGCGCGCGCCACTTAATGTCCCTCTATACCTAAAAGCGGCAAAAAGCGGCAAGAATGGAAAATGTCACCAAAAAGTAGAAGGTTTAGGGAGCATTTTGACATAACACTTAACCGGTCTTCTTGAGTCTTCATAAACGTAAAATTGCTTTAAAGTTAAATTTTACTAAAAATAACCTGCTTTTAAATAAGGGCTGTTATATCCCCATTTCAAATTTTTTTTAAGGTAAATATTATAACAAATGATTCTCCAAGAAACGTTCTTTCATAATATGTTAACTATAAATGGATATATATAACCCTAATTAAATACCAAGCCAATAAAATTGCTGTTTTTATTGCAAATAAAACGGTCTATTAAAATAAGCATTTTTTTTGTATTTTGAGTGGCTATATATTTTTTGTTTGCAAAGGAATAATTCCAAGATTTGGTAAAAAGTTGACTGGACCATAGGGCAATATAATCTGAAAATTTAAACCATATCTAAACAAGTCGATTAAGTTCGATTAAGTTCGTTTTTCGATCAAAATTGGCAACTGTGCGGCGTTCGTTTCGACGTCCAGATTGCGCGCGACGTGGTTCGCAACGTGGTACGGTTGCGCGACGTGGTACAAATCTGGACGCGGCTTTAGAGGAAGCATTTTTCTTGCCTACCTACAAGGCCAAGTGCACTGCACATGTGTATAGGTAGGTAAGACAAATTACATTTTCCACCATAATCGTGACCACATATTTACTAAATTATCATTATATATTTATATATATTCTACAAAAACAAGTCAGTCTAAAAATAAAGGATACAAAATCGTAAAAAATTGAATGGAAAAATTGACGATAGTACGAAATATAAAAAAGGTATTAATACCATTATAATGGTACGACTGGCAACAATGCCCGGAAGCTTTTAAAAACAACAAATAATAATATACATAAATAATAAAAAAAAATCTACAATATAATACATTATGACAATATATATAAATGAAAGATCCATAAATTTTTTAAAATTATAAAATATATTTATTTATAATAATAAAGTAGCAACTTAATCAATTCTTTATACAGATATATTTAGATATTTATTAAATATTTATAAAATTTATTGTTACAGGAAACTAAATAAATTTATTTAACTACAAGCAACCACGGATGGAACACATAAAAAGAAAGTAAGTTATAAGAAGAAATTAATTGCAGTCAGGCCAAATCTGAAATCTATAGATATCTGTGAAAAAATGTTCGTAGATCATTAAAAAAATCCGTAGTTATAAGGTTTTGTTGTTTTTTTACGCAAATAACGTTATTATTTTCTTTAAAATGTGTACGAGTATATGATTGTTTTCTTTTACTTTGTAATTTGGGACAAGGTACTACAAAATATAATAAACCAAAACGTTAAAACAAAAACAAACGAGAGCTAATGTAATGGTTATAAGGCTGAGAAGTGAGTCTCTTTGTGCTGAGCTCAAAGTTTGAAATTACCCGAGTCAAAATTGAGATGGTAATTTAAACCTACTTTGACCTACGAAAACTGATTTAAAACCTGTTCAGCCTGTTAACTCTAATTTAGCACTAGAACAACCAAATTAATCTTCATTTGAACCAATTTAAACCTCTAATAAAATTTTTATAAACCAAGTAATTCATTTTATTTCAAATAAAATTTTACCATTGATAAATTCCATTTTCTAATTTTACTGCAAATAATAAATGTAAATAATTCGTCCATTTATTTTGGAAATTTAAATTATTTGTATAGGTACCAATTAGGAAGTATATATGTAAATAAAATTTCTATAAATGCAACATTTTTATTCAAGTTCGGTTTGATTTACAGGTATTCCAAAGAATTCATTATCGTCTATTTTCATATATATATACAGACCGTCACAAGATAAGCAATCGGAACAGAAGAAATAGAGTTACGTAACCCCGTAAGGGGTTCACATTTTTTGCAAAAAGATGTCCGTTGTATATTAGGTACCTACCTAAAATTATTTATATAGGTATTGTCGCTGCGCCTGGAAGAACTTCTATGCGCATTTTAACAAATTTTACAGGAGAAGAAAAAACATTTTACTACCAGATAAAACTTTTATGAAAGTAATACTTTCAAAGTATGCATTCCTTAATATTATTTCAATACCTAATTATACTGAAAAATATTAGGAAATACTTTCATCAAAGTTTTATCTGGTAGTGAAATGTCTTTTTGCGACTGTAGGTTATATATAGGTTCAAATTTAAAAGTAATTAGAACCGAAAAATCGGGAAAATGGACTGCCATGATTTAGGTTATAAGTTGGTTATCTTTATGCGAAAATAAAACCGTTCAAGAGGGAAATTGTTCAGTCTTATTAGGTTTAAATTACGATCTAAATTTTGACTCGGGTGGGCAAAGCACAAAAATACACGTCTCAGCCGAATGGCATACAACATTTTATCCTCAAGGCACAGTTTTATTTGTTAAACAATACAAAAATCGTACAATTATAATAATAAATATCAATTATTAAAAGTATCCCTTTAGATGTGTTAGCAGTTCTATGCTGAAAATGACGGATGATTGCGGATATGAATTCTTCGTCGAAACCGGATAAAAGCAAATGATTGTGGATAGAATTCTTCGTCTAAGCCGGGTAAAACCAGATAAAAGCGGGTAAAAATATCATATAACATCTGCTTTTGCCCGCATTGCTATATCCGCGAACACCCGGTTGGTTGTGATTTATGTCCGGTTAGCGCACCCCCGCAATCATCTGTAATCATCTGTTTTCAACCGTCTCCCCTACGTTTCGTTTATATCTGCATTTGCTCGGGATCATTTGCAAACGTCTGCTTACGTCTAGTTTTATCCGCGATTACCTGCATTTTTATTGGGTTTTTTCTGCAAATGTTTGGTTTTATCCGCGAAAATCTGCTTTTACCCCGCACACGTTTGCATAGTCAAATTTCAACCGCAAACATCTGCTATATTCCGCGAACATCTGCTTTCGTCAGCAAACGTCTGATTTTATTCGGTTTTACCCGCAAACATATGCTTTTATCTGCGAACGCCTGATTTCATCCGGTTAGTGCAACCCCGCAATCATCCATAATTATCGGCTTTTGACCTGCTGCGTTTTGTTTATATCAAAGCAAACGTCTGCTTACGTCTTTTTTATCCGCGATTATCTGAATTTTTTTCGTCCTTTTTTTTCTGGTTTTAGCCGCGAGCATCTGCTTTCTATATATTCATATAGAAACAAGAAAAAAGTATATATAAATGTCTTATAAGGCTGTCCAAAGGTGACTTATAGTTCTATAGAACTTGTAGTCTACAAGTAAGTACTAGGTTCTATTTTATTCCTTTGCAACCGCTTGAGGAACCGGAGTGCCAAAATGGCACCTGTTACAATGACAGGTGACGACAAAAAAATTGTCCGTTATTTTTTTTTAGAACCACGCCAGCGAAGCCGAGGGTAAACAACCAGTGATGAAACATTTTTATCAATACCTATCAACACCTAAAATGTGATTTCATAAATTTCGAGCAATACTAATCCACATTTGCTCCATAAAACCCACATATTTATTAATTTACAACTTTTTTGTTTTTCTCTTAATTTAATTTAATTCATAGAATAGGATTTGAGAACCTTAAACTTATTAACAAAGACCGGATTTTAGGCCCTTAAAAATTGAAAATTAGGATAAATAGGCAATAAAAACCTAAATTTTAGGCCGTTTTAGGCCGAAAGTGACTAAAATAGGCCTCAATAGGCGATATAAATAAAAACAACACGATTAATCATAACATTTATTTAGGTTTTATCAATAAAAATAAAACAAAAAATACATGTCTCTCTTAATATAAAATACATAATAAAAATAATAACACAAACTCTTGCAAACACTTGCCCGTCTGAATAAAGAAAAGGAAAACCTTACTTGTAAAATTTAAAGAAAATCTTTTGCCAATATATACAGGGTGTTTCAATAAATACTCCCAGACCAATTATTTCGAAAACTAAAAGTGACATTTAAATTCTGTAAACGCCAGTTTTTATCCTTTATGATTGGCTTCACAACTGTGTAAAAAAATTGTTTGAATAATACAAGATGTAGGTGGCGCCACTGTGCAAAGAATTTTTTATATGACAGGAACTTTTAAATTAATTTTTGATCAAATTATGTCCCATACAAAATTTTGATAAATCCAACATGATAGGAGATATTTGGGGTTAAGTTTTTTTTTAAATAATTTTAACGAGTATTTTAATTATAAATATTTTTAATATGCTTTAGCAATTGTTCATTTAATTCTGGTAATCATAATTATAGTAATAAAACGCTCGTGTAGCGCTAACTAGATTAAAATTATTACGTCCATTGACGCCTCAGGGGCCCCTTAACAAATAATATTGGCAAAAAAATAATACGCCACTGAGTTTCTGGTAATTTTTATATTTTTTTCGGAATAAGAAACTAAAAATATGCGTTTTTTGTCTGTTAGATTGTTTACATATCTTGCTTCGTTTTCGAGAAATAAAAATAAAACCATTTGGAAAACAAAAATCATTATGAAACAAAACCATAAATTATTAATACGCTATATTGTTTGCTGTTTAAAAACAAAGGTAAAAAGATTAAAACATAATAAAATAAAATTAAAGGATGTTTTAAATTTTATGAAAGAACAAAATTATTAAAGAAAATTAGAACAAAACCAAAAACTAACTAATAAGGTCGAATGAGGTATTCAAAATTATTGCCGTTTTCATACACACATATCAAATTGATATAATAATGCGGTTCAATAGTGTATTTTGATTAATAGCGGCTATAGTAAAATAGATTTTGTTGTATAGGTCAGCCATGTCTTCTATTGGTTCCTTGTAGACTTTATTTTGTAAGCCGCCCCATAAATAAAAGTCAGGGGACCTTGCTGGCTATCCCCATTTGTACTGATCACTTTTCCTGGAAACGTCATTTAGATGATTCATAACGATATTGCCACTGTGTGCTGGGGCACCGTCTTGATGAAACCACATAGTATTTACGTCAAATTTTGTAACAGTGGGATCGTTTTGCAGAAATTGTAAATAACGAACTGAAGTTCATGGTACAAATAGGGCCCGACTATGTAATCATTTACAATACCTCACCAAACATTTACCCCAAATCGTGTTTGAAATTTAGTATGTCGTATCCAGTTAGGATTTTCCTGGGACCAGTAGCGACAATTATGTTTATTAATTACTCCATTATTGTGAAACCGGGGTTCGCCACTTCACATAATTTTGTTTAATAAATTTGGATTTTCTTCCAAGAAAATATGAAAATGTGTCAAAAAGTTTAATCTGCGCTGGTTATCTCCTTATTGTAGATGATGCACTAAATGAATCTTGTATGGAAAAAACATATTTCCTTTTAGGAACTTACTGAAATATTGGTTTCATCTTTTATTATTGAAATATTAGTTTCATCTTTTAATTTTCGTAATGACGTTTGTGGGTTATTTTTTACTGTTTGGAGGACTAAAGCTTCATTTTCGTCAGTAACCCTCTTCCTTCTTGAAACCGTTTCCTTTTTAAAGCTACCATATGTAGCTAAGTTGATACACAAAGCTACAAAAGATTTGCGATCTGGCGTTGGTCTCGATAGCAGCGCACAGCTTCTGAAGCATTTTGATGTCATTCTCCATAAACTAAAACCATGTATGTTCAATTTGTCTTGATTTGTATGGTGAACCATTTTTATTTTAGAAATGTATAAATTGCAAATTCTTACACTGACACTAAGCACAGAAAAATTTACTTGATGTTTCTAACATTCATTTGTTTTAATTTAATGACAATTCAACAGACAAAAAAGGATATTTTTAGTTGCATAATCCGAAAAATATATAAAAATTACCAGTCACTCAGTGGCGTATTATTTTTTGCCAATATTATTTGTTTTAAGTCTTAAAGATTCATATTGTTCTATCTATAAATGTATAAGGTATAATTGGGGTAGAACAATATGCATCTTTAAGAATTAAAACAAGACTGACCTCAATTTAAAAAAAATGCAGATAAAGGGTGTCCACTTAAGAGTGCTCTAACTTTAAAATGAAATAAAACAAACTACACTTAAGATATTAGAAAAAAAATATATTTATTTAAAAGAACATCCTATGGCATTAATTATGAAAAATAACATCTTTCAAATGCCCCCCGCGGCTGCGCTCCACAGCGCGCATTCTGCAGGTCAAATTTTCTATCACTTTTTCACACATTTCGGGTTCGATTTCATTTATTATATATAATAAATGAAATCGAACCCGAAATGTGCGAAACAAGCCAACATTACTCGTATACGAGTAATGTTGGCTTTCAGTGCTTCAATTGTTCGTGGCTTATTCACGTACAACAAGGGACTTTACGTAGCACTACAAAAAAAGTCCAGCGGCGTTAGATCGCATGATCTCGTTGGCCACTGGATATCGCCGCCGCGTGAAATGACGACGTTGAAACGTTTGGCGAATTAAACATTGATTTTGTTGGTAAATTTGAATAATTTGAATGCGTTGAGCAACCGTGTAACGCTCCATTATCAAATGTCATAATATGCCAACAAAACTTCAAAATATTTGACAGCTGTGTCTGAACTGACTTAGCCATAGCCGCTTATCAAACATCGAGCGTACCTAATTGGACACCCTTTAGAACACTATAATTTTCAGGTGACGAAAAGCACCATTCGTTGATTCCAACGGTCGTCAAAGTTGGCTTTAGCCATCTATTGTCTTTATCAGTAGCGGCTCGTCGTTTAAGGCAACTGAGGCCGGGCCTCACATGTTAAAATTATAATATAATTTGTAATTTTCGATACATTACTTATTTAAATATAAAACGTTTTTAAACTAATTTCCAGAACATCGAATAACCATCAAAGTTTAAAACATTTCCTTTAAATTTAGCGCGCACCCCTTTCAACTTTAATTCTAAACGCTTAAATCATTGCCCGACCACATAATAGGAAAATAGTAATCCCAGAAATTTGCGCTTGCTATACGTCACACATTGCCGATACAACATCATGCTCCCCACCGCTTCAGCGCGCTGTACGGTGCCGCCGGCACACCCGCAAGGCGGGAATAATACGCGAATTTTTTAGACATTGAGGCCCACAAAGTTGGGCTTGACACACGGCTTGTACCACAGTATATGGAAGACAGCAGAATCAGTACCGAGATCTGTGCGGCTCGCTTATCAGCTGTTGTAAAAGACTGGAGGGGGAATGTTATAGTAAACAATCTTATTAAATAGATCTATGCGTGTTTATAGTTTCTTATTCAGTGTTGCCTGCGGCGCCATATAGCGGTTCATGGGCCTCGCCTTCATGAATGGTCACGAGCCGCCACTGGACTTTATAGAAAAAACTATTTACCACCTGTAAATTATGGAGAGTTATTTAATTATGCCATAGATGGCGACAAATTATATTACTAAAAACTGTTAAAAAGTCTGAAATTACCATATAAAATATATGGAAATTACAGTAAAACCTATAAAAACAAAGTAAATAATAATTTTCAACCATTATTTTACAAACTTAATATTTTCCATAATTATTTATAATAAATATTTAGATAGCAAAAACACAATTACTTTTTTTATTAGGTTTTTACTAGTTTTGTAATTTGTGGTTCTCGTACTCGCCAAGCGAAATACGAGCATGAAAGCAGGTTCTAATTAAAAATAATTTAGTTTTTCCTCTATGAAAAATATATTTTTTACTGAAAAATTCGAAAAAAGCCTATTTTAGGCTCATAAAAATGTCCTTTTAGGACAATAAATCAAAATTTCGCCATTTTAGGCTTTTAGGCAAAAACAAAGCGTGTATAGTAGTGGTTTGTTTATTCTTCTCAAATAATCTCATAGTCAGATTATTTGTCAATCTAGTATTAAGAGAATGAATTTGAGATGCAGTTACTATCACAGTGTTGCTTTTTGTGTACTGTTTTATTACACAATGTATAAGTCTTGTCAACTCATTGCTTTAAAAATTTTTATATTACCAAAGCTAGTTATGCTATAAAGTTGATTTGTGGGTGTTCTATATTCCAAATTAAATAAAAACTTTATAAATTTATTTTGGATTCTATGTACCTACTTTATTTATTAAATATTCTGCACAATTTTTTACAAATCCTTTGTATGCGTTCTGTCCAGTTAAGTTTTTCATCTATTATAAGGCCAAGATAGTTGTATGATTGGACTTTTTTAATTTTTTGAGAATTTATATTTATTGGTGGTTTATTTTTTTGCTTTAATAACATAAATTCAGTCTTATCCACATTTATTACTATTTATTACAAAACGGTTTTTATTTTTTAAATGCGTTTTGGATGTTCCTAGAGCATCAATTGAGGAAATAATCAAAAAACTTTTTTATTGCAAATAAATATTTATTTTTGTGTTTACTGTGTTAAATAAGGCTTAAAGGTATAATTAACTATATTTTAATATAAAAATAAAAGTCTTTATTTTTTAAATGCCGTTTTTTAGATGTTCGCGTTGAAACGATTGGGAAAATAATTCAATAACTTTTGTATTGTAAATAAATACATATCTCCGCTCGTTCGAAAGTTAAGCGATGACAACGGAACGTGCCAAATTTGTCGAAAAAATCGAAAAAAAAGTGGGATTCGGCCTTTTCGGCACCGAAAAAATTTGGTCCACCTATAGATCTCGGTGGGCAGAAAAAAAGGATACAAATTTCGAGTGTCCACCTGTAAGTCTCCCCACTCTGTCGCGACATGTCGGTTAGAAAAAAAATGATTCACAGACTAACAGACACAGACAACGGACAATTTTTTTTTTAAAATCGATTACGCGTCGATACATACATTTGAAGGTATAACCTAGCTGTCCTCTTTGTCACACTTTCGCGATCCGCTCCTGGTGCGATAGGAAAGCTAAGCTTGGTGCTCGCTGCGGGTGGAAATCGCGCCGCGACCGCTCCACCTAAACTGGGTATTAATTTTAAAGATGAATTTTAAATTTTTTACGTCTTCTATCACCTTATATGTGTCATCTGTCAATTGACATCTGTCACCTGTCATTTGACACCTGTCATATGTCAACTTGTCATCTGTCATCTTTCACCTGTCAAATATCACATACCTTTTGTTGTCTGTCATCTGCCATATGTCATCTGTCATCTGTCATCTATCATCTGTCAACTTGACATCTGCCACTTGACATATGTCACCTGTTGTTGGATACTTTGTTAGGATCCCCTGTATATGAGTGGCGAAAAAAATTAAATCGACTTTAATTCAAAGATCCACCCAATAAACGAATTTTATTAATTATATTTTTTCGTTAACAAAAGCTGGCAACACCGCAATTAAATTTGGCAAAACCGCATTGTTACCTAATATTTTGTTGGATCCCCCTGTTATCGATTTGATTTCTGGGTTTTTAATTGGTTAACTTTTTTAACCCTTAAGCAGGCACGCGGGGTGTACAAAACACCCCAGCTTCCTAAATATAGCTACCGGTCTCACTTCGATTCGAATAAATGGCGCTTACTTTCAGTACCTTCCTGTCAAAGTATTCTCAGTCATATTACATTGCCGATTTTGAAGTTAATGTAATAGGTTGTCTCGTATTTTGTTTTAAACAGGCTCTGGGTGCTGTGGACACCCCGTGAGCAGGCTGGGTTTCGCCTCCCTATTGACTTTTTTTACCAAATCATAATTACTTGTAAAAGTAAACCTTATATTAAGTGCTTAGTGTTTTTTTGGTTTTTATTATTATTATGACTTTTAAAATTTGTTTTTTTTTTTAAATAAATGCTTTATTTGATTAAAATTGTCGTCTTTTGACATTTTCTTTTTTTTGTCATCTTTTATCAAATTTTAACGCAACGAAATATGTTCTCATTGTCTCTCAGCTCATCTTAACTTGATAACCTTAAAAAACACCCCGCGCATAAAGAGGTGCGCCTGCATAAGGGTTAAATACCCAACAAAAATTAAACAGGCTTCTGGCCGATTACTTTTCATTCGATGAAGCTCATCTTTTAGTATGTCAAACTTTGGTCATTTACCAGTCGATTCGTGTATTTCGTTTGGCTAATTTCGAAAATTTCTCTCGCCCTACAAAACGTTTAAAAATTTTTCGAAAAAAATAAAAAAAGATCTTTCGTAACTTATTGACAACATTCCGGGATTAAGACTTTTATCCGGAATTTTCGGATTCCGTATTTTACGGGATACCGGGATTGACATCCCTAGTATGCACAGATTTTGTATTTTTTCTTAAATAATAAGTAATAAATTAAGGTTCAAATTTTAAATATATTTATTTTTTCATCAATTTGTTTCAGATACATTTATATACTCTTCAGTTAACACAATGCAACAAAGAGGTGCTCCAAATGCCATAATGGAAAAGGAAGAGAGTCAAGCTACCACAAAGAATTCATTTCGGGGAAGGGTAAGACTAAAAAGTAGTATAAAACAATTTTAAATTAGGAAACTTGAAAATAACTACCTATGGGAAATTTTTAGATTTAGATTTAATACGATGTTTCCATTAAACTATTCAAGCTTGGTGTGGAAAAGTAATTTTTGTAGTTTTTATTTCAAGCGGTTGAAAGTAGGACTGAGAAGTTTAATTTTATGTTAATAGTAGGTAGATCTAAAAAACTAAATAAAAATACCAGGGCATACAACATATATAATAGTATAATAAATATTATACTTTAATACTTACTTACATAAGTAAATAAATATAATATAATGTAAACTGTAATGTATACACCGCGGTGTATACATGGGTCTGAGATCCTAATTTCTTGAACATAATTAGAATTATCACTGTAAATTTATACAAATACATATTACGAATCCAAAATGATTTTTTTAAGAAAACAAAATAGATGCCCCAAAATGGCGATTTAAAAAAAATATTTTTTATTATAAATACAAAATGGCCGCTACAAAATGGCGAATTTTTGGATCCAAGACTACGAATCTTGACTTACTGTAAATTACAGTCTGTAATGTTACACGCAAATAAATTGATAATTCTACAATAGATAACACTATAGGGAGGTGAAAATATCACAATTAAACGCTCGGACACGTAAACTTAATTTTTGGTTGTAGATTACAAATCCGTGCTTGGTTTAGCTGTATCAGGTCAAAATTCAAAGATATTGAAAACACCCTGTATAAATTTTTAAAAAAAATAATTTGGCTGCATCCACACATTAGTTCCAAATTAAAAAAAAAAATTATTGCAAAATTTGAAGTTAATTGATCAAAAGGAACAGGGGTCCTTAAGAGTTTTTTATAGATAATTTAGGAAATTCAAAATGTTTTTTTGCTAATTTTTTTTATTGAGTATAATTGAGGATATTATGTTTATTGAAATAAAAAGCATAGGAATGTTGGCACAAGAGGTGAAATATATTATTTTACAAATTATAATATACCAGTATACAGTGTGTCCCTGGATCGGACGATAGGTAAAACTTTTTTAGACCTGATACAGCTAAACCGAGCACGGATTTGGAATATGCTGTAAGTATTCCAAACTTGTTACAGAATATGATTTATTATCTATGGAATATACTATTACTTTCCGTTTATAAATTAATTTTACCCTTTCTCTGGTATGCATTTACCCACTGCGCTGCCGGATCATTATTTTTTTGAAAATCGAAAATATTTAATGTCGCTGTTTTTGGTGTTTCGATTCAAATTAGTTATGCAAGCGTATACTTTATATTAATATTAGTTCAAAGGTCAAATTATTTGAACAGAAATAAAGCTAAAATGTCATCATGTCAGTTAAACCTAACTTAAAATTGTTGTGACAGAATCTTAAAAAATAATTTGATTAAATACTTGAAAAAGTATATAAAACACACTGCCTCGGCAGTGAAATGTATGCTCGGCGATAATATTTGTAAATTAAATTGTCTTTCAAAATATGTAAAAATATACAGGGTACATCCCATTATAAAAAAAAACATTTCTTATGAAAATCGGCAGTTTTTAAACGTTAACTTCATAATATAATCCAGTATGTTCCTAATTTGTATACAATTAAGTACCTACCTATATTATTGCAGGGCTCTTAACTCAGGCCTGTAGCCAGCCTGACATTTTAGATGGGGCTGAGGGAATTAAAATTAATTTTATTAAAAAAGTATACCTTATTAAGTTTTGACGTATGCAGGCCAGGGCCGGCAGCTTTTCATTTTGACGTGTGGTGCTCATCTACAGTTGTTGGTAGCAGTGGTTAATGGTTGGGGGGCAGTGGCGGCTGGTGGATTTTGGGTATAACGATATCTCAATTATTAGATATGGGACCCACACCAAATTTATATGAGTTTATAATGACATTAAATAAACAAATTCTGCGCAAGCAGAATTTGATTTGAAGTTTGCGAAAAAAAGATAAATTTTTGCTCGGCCGTACCGGCCCCATGGCGCCCCCAATAAATATAATATAAATTTAATTGGTGCAATTTATTATTTACCATAATTTATTGACAAATTTCAAATTTCATTTAAAAAATCCAAATTATACCGATTTTATACCATTTTAAATTTTTAATATTTTTTTTCAAAGAAATAATAAAAATTTAAAATGATATAAAATCTGTATTATTTGGATTTTTTAAATAAAATTTGAAATTTGTCGATAAACTATGGTAAATAATAAATTGCACCAATTAAATTTATATTACCTATATTTATTTGGTGTGGGTCCCATATCTAATAATTGAGATATCGGTATACCCAAAATCCACCAGCCACCACTGATGGGGGGTGTGGGTGTTCTTTTCCTTGGGGGTTGCGGGAAGGAGAACAAAATAAAATTGGAATAGTTTTTTAGTCAATTTATTTATCAAACTCAGTCACATCCCTATTGTAAATGACCAATAGAATCCAATAAAAAATAATTAATTGGTTTGAATTAGTTTGAAATGTGTTTTGGCGCTATGAATCACCAATTCATTCCAGTTGAATTCCTATTGGTAATTTCCAATAAAGTCAACGGCTAGAATTGGAAAATACCAATAGAATCCAATAAAAAATAAGTAATTGGTTTGAAATGTGTTTTGGCGCTATGAATCACCAATTCATTCCAGTTGAATTCCTATTGGTAATTTCCAATGAAGTCAGCGGCTTGAATTGGAAAATACCAATCCATGCCTATGCTTGTCTCTATTGGCTAAATCCAATAGAAATGCACATGGAATGAATTGGTAATTCATAGCGCCAAACCCATTCCAACCCATTAATTTTTTAAAATTTGGATCAGAAAATACCTGCCAGTTTATTTTTCATTCAAAAATAATTTTAGATCCCAGAAGGATAACCAGGTAAAAATTACATTCTTACGCCATCGTCCCTTATTAGGTTTAAACCTTACACATATAAACATTTTTTAATATAAAGTAGTACACTACTAACACTAGGCACTGAAATCGACTAATAAAAAAACCGCTAATAAATGGCGTCCAAAGACTTGTTGTTTTTTCTTTATGATGGCGTCTCAACGTCGTTGATTTTGTGCAGCTACACGAGAGCCCTCTTGCGATATTTGTATTTATTGGGAATAACCAATTAGCAGATTTTTCGAATCTTACACTGGGAATGCCCAATTGAATTCAATTGGAAATTACCTATAGGTAGCTTTATCCAATCGAAACCAATAAAAACCATTAGAATCCTAATTTGACTTTTCCATCATGGAAAATACCAGTAAAAACCAATTTCTGTTTTATATCGCGCCCAATTAAATCCAGTAAGTCCAATTCAGATTCATTGATACCAAACAATACTTCAATTGGTTTCTACAGGAATTAATCGGTCATTTACAACAGGGATTTTATATACAGCCCAGACAGCACATATATCCATTGGACGTCCAGCGGACGACCATTGTACATCCAAACGTCCAATGTATGTGCTGTATGGGAGGGAGAGCACACTACTAATTATGGCACTAATATATCCCCCCCGGAATGATTAAATTTAGTTTATATAGTTTTTTCAACAGTGCTTATTACGCGAGATATTTTTAAGTTTCAAGTTAAAAAACTCACCCTGTAATGGAATCGAATGGGATAGGTATATTACTGCCACATCGGACGTTTTAAGGGTTACCACCTGCCATTTCTTGGATTAAGGGTTACCAGCATCAAAAATGCGTTACGAGAGACAATTAAAACAGAGTAACTCTAGGATTCGAACTTACCTTTGTTGATAAAAAGTCGGGTATCTATCCACTAACAAAATTGGTGGTAGCAAACAGGAACTCAGAGATAATAAACAAACTGCACGAACTGTAAATATATTATAATAATAATAATAATATAACTCAAAGTTTGGTCGGTTACCGTCGGTATAGTAGAAATACCCTAAATACACGTCGCGACGTGTCGGTATGTTATTCCTACTATACCAAGATACATACACTTATACTTTTTTTTTGTACATACTATACCGACCGACTTTGATACTTTAAATTGGATTCCTCAGCTTCAACTGTAAATTTGTAGAGGGTGTTAGTGTGTATCCCTGGCTACCAGGATAAAAAATTTAGAGACCGCAAAAGAAATGCAATTTTTCTGCTGAAGATACGTGTGGTGCTGAGCACCACCATTTTCCTTTACGTGTGGTGCTTGAGCCCGCGAGCACCGCTATTGTCGCCGGCCCTGATGCAGGCAATCCTTTTTTGCAGCTCTATCTTTCAAGGTTTGTTTGGAAAAGTTTGACAATTTACAGTTACAGCGTAAAGCAAAAATTGACTTTACTTATGTTTTTCTTTAGAATATGTAATATTTTTTTCCAAATCCATAACCATGCTTGATTATTATTCTTTAAAAAAAATCATAATTTGAAACGACTTCATTTATTATGCATCATTGTACTGCTCTACAACGCTAAAATGCAGTTTTACCAATTTAATTAATTAAGGACAAAAGATCATTTTCATTACTTTAAACAATAAAAAGTATATTTTTTTCTTTATTACTTAAAATGCAGTATTACCGTTGTAGGGCAGTGCAGAGCTCTTCCTTTAAAATGACAAAATTTAATAATTATTTTCTTTTGCAGTACAAATCGAAATTTTTAGTGCGCAGCCATGCAATGCGTGAAGAGCAATCACCGCCCCGCGAGCCTTCGCCTCACCGTCTTGTATCGCCTGCTATAAAACTGACGCCGTCGCCGGAACCGGCGGCCGAGGCATCAACTTGTTTGAGCGGCGGCGCATCGCCCTCCTCGAACGCCGGCTGCACCTCCCCTACGTCAACTTTGGTTCCATCCCCTAATTCCAGGTAGATAATGTCATTAAAAAAGTAGTGCACTCTTTCTGATCTTCTAATGACACTTACCTTACCCTTCCTTAACTTAATATACCTACATATATTTATATATCAGTGGCATATTTGAAGGTGAGGCAAGGAAGGCGACGCCTCACCTAAAGGTTTTTATAATTATTATGTATATTATAAAAAAATATTGAATAAATGTAAATTTTGTAAGTACCTATTTATTAGATATTTATTTATTATTAAAAATATTAAAAATTTGCATTTTAAGTAAGATTTAACTTTTAATTCTAAGCAACATTTTATTATTTCATTTTGCTATGAAATAAAAATTAAGTGTACTTGGGCCAATTATATATTTTCCTGTTTTAAGACCAGATGCCATTTTAATTTTTAACAGTCCAATACTATTTTGTCAGCAGAACTTTTTATAAAAAAAACTTTTTTTGTAAAATTAATAATAAAGATGTCATTCTTATATAGACAACTTATGCGGACACACTGTATAATAGATAATAAATTGTAAAGTATTTTTTTTGTCAAGGTGTTCTCCACATAGTGCTTCCTCGGGGCATATTGGGCGTAGTTGCGAAGTTTATTCAGATGGAGAAAGTCCGTGTTCGCCATGCAGTCCTAAGTACCTGGACAAGATAAACTGTCAGAATGTGGAGAAGGAACACAAACAATCTAGTCATGTAAATAGGTAAATAATAATTGAAAAGGAAAACCATTGTTTTAATGCGCTTGTCTTTTTTAGTAATAGGAAAAAACTCATATGTGATTGCCCGAACCAGAACTGCATCAAATGCTCGGGCCAGGACAAAACGCTTAATAACAATAACTCGAACATAAATAACAACGTGATCAGTCCAAACACACTGACCGTTGTCAAATCAACGTCAAGGGGAAAACTACGGCAACAGAGCTCCTCGCAAGGCAGTTTTGAGGGAAGTTCTACGAATTCGCCCTGTCTTTCCAGAGGTAAACAAAACATACCAATCATGTCATTTTTCACGAGAAAAGTCAGAAATGTATCTTAGCATTTTAATAAACCAACATTAGACGTTTATTGTATTGGGTTTAAAAAAATTTCTTACAAATGCTGTTTCTCTTTAAACACTGTGGCAAGTGATTTAATTGGATAAGGGGAATAGGGATCAGATTTTTCTATTTTTCTTACATGTGGTAGAGGGGTTTATCTGAATACCTTAAGTAAGAATTTAAGAGTGGTGCACCAATGTTGTTCTTACAAGTTTTACGAACGGGATTGGTGTTAAAACCATGTAAAAAAAAAACCTCAACTGATTAATAGAGTACTTCTCTAAAATTCTGCAAAACCATTTGCAAGTCATTTTGTTTGAAACACAATATAAAACACCATTAAATTTTCATTATAAAAATTTAAATGTAATTTTTTTTAACTTTTGTAATTTTTATTACTTATTCACAGTCAAAGTTAGAGATAATTCTCTACCCCGCTCTTTATTTATTAAATAATAATTATTATCTCACGATATTGTGTCTAAAATTGATAGTTCGTGCAGAATAAGACTATAGTTCTTTCCTGAACTAAAGGTTTTCTTATCCTGTAAAAAATGCTTTATTATGATGCGGCTGGTGGATTTTGGGTATACAAATATCTCAGTTATTAGACATGGGACCCACGCCAAATTTATAATAGTTTATAATGATATTAAATAGACAAGTTCGGCGCTAAACAGAATTTAAATTGAAGTTTGCGAAACAAGGTAGTTTTTAATGTAGCCTCACCCGCCTCCTGGCCCCCCTATTTGAGATAATTCAAATGAAAGTGGTGCAATTTATAATCTTATATAATTTTTGGTTAAATTTAAAATTTTATTTAAAAAATACAAGTGTTACAGATTTTATACCATTTTAAATATTTTTTTTTATTTTAATAAGATAAATAATAAAAATTTAAAATCGTATAAAATCTGTAATATTTGTATTTTTTAAATATAATTTTAAATTTTAAAGTTATAGTAGATTATAAATTGCACCACTTTAATTTGTATTATCTCAAATAGGGCGGCCTGGAGGCGGGTGAGGTTACAGGAAAAACTAACTTTTTTAGCAAACTTCAATTTAAATTCTGTTTGCGCCAAACTTGTCTATTTAATGTCATTATAAACCATTATAAATTTGGTGTGGGTCCCATGTCTAATAACTGAGATATTGGTATACCCAAAATCCACCATTGTTATGATGTAACTTTTTTACATTTGGACTCATTTACTTTACAACTTTTCTGAACTATTTAATACTATCCCAAACTATTTATTACATGCAGATTAATTTTCTTTGTTTATAAGTAATATATGGGTGAGTGTTCCTCAGCAAAGTGGAAAATTCGAGTCTCGTAAAATAATAACTTCTTAATTTGCCACACATGTTAAAATATTTTATTATACATATATAATTTTAACAAAACTGAATGTAGGTATTTTATTTTTTTTTTAATATTCTAAAAAAAGTTTCCTGAAATGTCACTAATCCAAAATTACTTATATTCATGGAATTAAGTTTAATAACTTTTCAAGTAAATTAATTTATTTTACAATTTGATTAAGCAATAGAACATTTAAAAATTATAAAAGCCTATTAAACTGTATTTAAAATATTAAAAAACCTCTATAGAGTATACTTTCTTATTCTTAAACTGAAACAAAACTAAATGTGGTGTAGAAGCGGAGACGGAAGCTAGGATTTCCCCGTAAATTTGGTTACGAGTTTTTATTAAGATTTTCATTTAAGATCATAAGTTATTTAAATAGAATCTGTTCAATATGTTTTTATTTATTTGCAGACAGCAGTTCAGAATACACTGATACAACGGGCGTGGATTTGGAAATTTTTATTCCAGAAACATTGAACCGAAATGCTAAAGATAGAGCCCTTATGTTGAGAATAGAACAGGAACTAGTCACACTTGCCAAAGATAGAAAGTAGGAAATATATATTGTTTAATTATTTATTTTAACGTAAATAAGTTTTAGTCAATCTTACTACAAGTTCCCGCCAATGTCAAGCTACCAGCGCATGCTGGTTCACCGGTGTGCGGCCTATTTCGGCATGGACCACAATATAGAATCTTCCGGTAAATGCGTGGTGGTCAACAAAACCCGAGTCACCCGCATACCGGACGTCCCGTTTAAGGAGCACATTAAACCGGAAATTGTTTTTGCCGAGGAACCCAGAAGATCCATATTGAAAAGAGATTCGAATAGCATTGAAGATTACGGATTTAAATCGCCCGACAGATCTTTTAGTTTGGAGAATAGAAGAAGCAAGAGCTTTGAGGAGAGGGAGGAGGAGTACGAGAAAGTAAGGAGAAGGATATTTAATAGAGAGGTAATAAATACAGTACCTATAACTTACTTAATACTTATTAAGTATATCGAAAAACTGGGTGTTCTAAGTCTGGGAAAAATACCCGAGTTGCCATTTAAATCTTTTAAACGATGTATGAGTTGTAAATTACCATTGAGATTGAATGATATAGATAATGCAATAAAGAGTTTGAGATGACTATAGGGAAAAACACAAAATATTGTAAACTACACATTTAAAAGTTAAAAACTGGTGTCTCAGATTTTAATCCGGAAAATTTAGTAGTCGATAGAAATCGCAAAAATAGGAAGAAAAGTTTATATTAACTTATGTATGTTTTAAAGCTTCGTTTTCATGAAGTTATTAAAAAAAGAGCTTTCTGAAAAATTTGGCAGTTATTAAAAAAAAGTTTTTCGTACTGGGTAATTTAATAAAATTTAATTTAATTGGGGGATATCAACTGGATATTTAAAAATACAATTTAGGTAGGTACGCTGCTGCTTTTTTACAAGTTTAATATTACTTTAAAACTAAGAAATTAAAAATAAAACTTTTTGTCTTGTGCATTGTTTCTATGTCTTTTTTAATTTTCAGGAAGAAAATAAAATTTGATTATTTGCTCGCCCCTGGAAAAATTATGGTTATAACGTATACGAGCGGATAAGCAAATTTAATTTCTTTCTTGAAAATTAAGAAAAGTACAGAAAAAAGACAAAAAAGTTATATTTTTAATTGCCTAATCTAAATATAATATCAAACTAAAAACGCACTTCATATAAACTGTTCTTCCTATCTCCTAGTTCTTTCGACTACAAAATTTTTCCGAATAAAATCTGTATATATTGATTTAATATTTCTATTATTTATTAATATACCTAATAATAAATACAATAAATAGGTAACACACAGGTTATAGGACAAGTCAGTTTGTACAAAATGACCTAAATATGCAAAAACTCGAGTTACTTAATTTTCCCGAGTAAAATATGAGGCCCTGTATATAGATTTATTATTTCTATTATTAACTAATAGGTATACCTAATGATAAAAAATATAAATAATAAATCTTTATTATCCAATAGGCAATACACAGGTTATATATAATTATCTATAGGTCCTATTATAGGACCTATAATAGGACAAGCCAGTTTGTAAAATCTTACAAAAGTAAAATTAAAAAATTACAAAATTAGCTAAATATGCAAAAACTTAAGTTACTTACCCCAAAATATTCCCAGCGAACGCATTTATCTATGTGTAAACTGGGCAACATACACTTTTTGAATACTATCTCGATATTATTTAAAATTAAAATTAATTTAAAAATTATGAAGGATTTTTAAATAAGCAATTAATAATAAACCATTCAATGACAATATTTAATATTTTTTGTGATTTTTAAATTGATTCCAAGCTGTTATTTTAACTTTTTATGTTGAAACACGCGGGTTTGACAAATGTCGGTAAATTTAATACCAAGTCTTATTGTCTGGTTTATTTTGTTTAAAAAAATCGCTTTAGTTTAAGACATTACAGTTAAAGGTGGATTAACTTTTTATATGGATTTCTTTGCGAATTTCCAAAAAAAAAAATAATGATTTAGTGAACGCATGTAAAAGCAAAAATTAACATATCACATGGATATTTCACCTGAGATATATTCAGATCTACACTGAACTACGCGTGTTTGTTAATGCTCTTAAACTCTCCAGTACTCAAGCTTTATTATCGAAAAAAAAACTTTTGCCGAATTTTGCCTATCCAGGTGAAAACGCAAGATTTTCTGTGTGGTCTTTTACAATTTGATTCAAAATAAAGGTATTAGTTGAAAGGTTATTAGGCCTAGATTGTAAAAGACTTTTTTAATATGTAATCTGTCATTTTGAAAGTTTTGACGTTCTATTTAAGGCAATTTTAGTGGTTTTATTGGATTTTTTTTTGTTTAATCGATTGAGCTAAGTTGGCAGAGTAATTTTAAAATACCCTGAAAACAAAAAACATTTATTATTAAAAATCTAAATACCTACTTGACAGCCATTCCACGCTACTCGGGAATTTTTGTAGCGTTCGGACGCGTCCGTTACATTAAAAAATTGTAATTTAAAGCTACCGTTATTAAATTAAATACTGTTACAATAGTTAAACATGTTTATTATGCTTTTAATAATTAGGCTTAAAATTATAAGCATAATAATTACGGTAGTTTTACTCAAAATTTTTTATTGTAACGGACGCTACAACAATTCCCGAGTAGCGTGGAATGGCTGTTGAGTTATTTTAATAAAAAAATATATATATAGGTATACAGTATGTATACAGATACCTTTTTTCGTTCAAAAGATAACAGGGGGGGATTTTTAACGTCCGCACTGTATATGTTACCGGCAATGCAAATAAAAATTAAATTTACAAGCACTTGTTATTTATATAATGATACAACAAAATATGGTAAAATATAACATTTTTAGAAAGGTATTTATTTTCGCCGTGACTAGAAGTACACCGGGAGTACTGGCATTAAACGTACATCAGGTTTGTGCGCATGCGTGTTTCCATACCAGCTGATGGTAAATTTTTAGATTTATAAGTTGAGATTAAATTGGTACACTAAGGCCCAGTTGTATAACAGTTGGAAAACAGCTTGTTAACTCTTGATAATAATTATGTAATTATTTAGCTAACTTTCAAGTTGTATAAACATTGATTAAAATTTAATTAAGTGATTGAAATACAATTAACAACAAAATTAATGAAATGTCAGTATGAATTACTCAAACCAACCCAAACTCAACAACCCAACCCAACCAAAATATTACTTACCATTACATTCAGGCGTAAAAAACAATAATGAAAAATGACCATTAAACAAATATAAATTGATTGAATTTCATCAAATTTAACACAATTATCTGTAATTATTCAATGTTATTATTGTAATTATTAAAGTAATTATTTAATAAAAACCATATATGTTTATTGAAACTAGGTTAGAGCGCACTAGGAAAATAAACACAAAATTAGAAATTCTGCGCAAGCCTCAAACTGCGCATTAAAAATGAATCCATTAACAAGTACTTAATTCGACGTCTGTATTTTGACTTCTAAAAGAGTTAATAGTATGATTTCAATTGGAAGTAAGAAAAAAGAATACTCTGTAAGCTTAAAATAAATTGTTCAAAAAGAGGTCAAGAAAATATCTTCATTTGTACGTAAAAAAATTGACTTCTTATTTATGAGTTCATTAACAGCTCAGAATTTTGAGCTCATAAAAAGGAGCTGTTTAAGACGTCATGTTAGAACTTCTACACGAAGTTGTTTAAAAGACATCATACTGAAATCTTTCTGAATTGAATGCTGAAAAATAAGGATCCTTATTTGATTTGTTTTCATAACAACCGCTAGATTAGCCATGAAACACACAGTGTTACCGTTTTTTAAACTTACAACTTAAGATTAAAATAGATTCAAATAATAGCAATTTTTAAAAAATTGTTAATCTTTTTACTCACTTTTACTCGTCAATTCAAAATTCCTGCGAAATATTGAAGTTTAAACGTCCTCGTTTTAAGTGTTGGTAAAAAATTACCTACAGAGCCCGCCCTTTCCACCAGTCATCTTGAAAACAATGCAAGCGGCAAAGTTGTGGTGAATGCACGTAAAGTTACAGTCAAAATTTCAGTACTGTGGTGAGTAGTTATTTTCTTACGTATATATATTTCATTTTAATTTATATAAGGCTATATGTGATTTGTTAATAAGTAGCATCCACTAATAAAAAAAGATCAGTAAAATACTTAATTCCGAATTATAATCTCAAATTTGTATCCCATTCATCAGTACCGTGTCGTCAGTTCCATGTTCGATGTTTCGGTTATCTTTTTTTCGCAAACTTCAATTTAAATTCTGCTTGCGCAGAACTTGTTTATTTATTGTCATTATAAACTCATAAAAATTTGGTGTGGGTCCCATATCTAATAATTGAGATATTGGTATACCCAAAATCCACCAGCCGCCACTGATGTTTGGTATTTGATTTTAAGATATTTAATGTTTAATATGCTCAAAGTTGCAATAAATCTTATATTTTCCAATAAATTATGTATTTAATTAGTACCCTGGTATACTCGTCACTTCCCTTGCATTGAAACTGTTTGAAAAAGTGACTGGCCCGCCCTGGAACAGTATATTTATTATATTATCTATGTACTTATAAAAAAATACTGTTTAATTTTCTCCGAAAACTATATAAACAAAATGAGGTCAAAAGTTGCCCAACTTTTGTAGAATCACATCATATAACTTTGTGCCCTTGTTGGGAAAATAATTTTAAATATCGCGTGACGTTGTGCCATTGCTAGGACACTCTAAATAAATGTTCTGAAATATTCAGTCAATACTTTGGTTTAAAAATAATTAAAATTATTGGAATAGCGTTGTAGGTGCCAGAAAGGAGTTTTGTGGTGATTTCACAAAAGAACAAAAAATGCTTCAATTGTTTCTTGCCTTTGAAATACGGTAGATGTAAACACATAAAACATTTTTTCAACAAAAATATAGCACTGTGCTTAATTTGGCATTGGTGTTCCAGCATAGTATTCAATTACACTGGTCTGCAAAAAAATTATTTTTTTCTCCTCATTGTTTTCATACATGATAAAATTATATTTGGTGCTCTAAACAAGGAATTTATCATGCAAATGAATACATTTTAAATATTATGTCCATTAAAAAAAATCGATATTATTAGAGTAACAACAATTACAAAAAAGTTTTCAAGTGCTGTAGTCACAGCGAATACTGCGCAAGCGCATATGTACTACTATAAAAATCACTTTTGGTCCTTTCCTTCTTTCTCTTACGACTCGCTAAAACCTATTTTGTATGTACATACAGCTCGATTTTTAAAAGAAGTAACTTTCGTCATAGATTTAAAACCTGTTTTTCGACATACGTATCACTGTGATACGTACAGGGTGGTCCACGTATACTTATCTCAGAAACTACTGGAGTCACAAAAAATTTGGAAGAAACAAATATTCACAAAGTAAAAAATATTTTTAAAATATTATATTTTCATTTATACAGAGTGTTCAGTTTTCCTTGGGACGATACCAACTTTCTTATTTTCAATGGAACACCCTGTATTTTTTTGCATTTTTGGATTCTACCCACTCTTTTAGGTATACTTTGTAAATATATTAATTAAGAAAATTTTAATACTTTTTGAGTAAAATTAAGATTTATTAAAATTTCTCTAAATGTAGACACTCGCTAAAAGTTAAAAATAATCAACTAAAAGTTATTATTTTTTATATTATGTAGTATCCATCTCTTTAATAATAAGTAAGCTATAAGTTAATTATTATATTTTTTGGAAAATATCATACAGGGTGTTTTCTATGTCCCGTTGAAAAACCTAACAGAAAAAAAAATATTCGCATTTTTCACAATAAGTAGCTTTTTTCCAATTACCTTAGTTAAATTTTCATTATTCAAATAAATAAATTTCAATAACAACAAATAAAAATGCTTTTATATATAAATATATATTACTATAATAATTACCATACGCGCAAAGCTACTAATTTTGTAAAATGCGAATATTTAATACCTAAAAGAGTGGGAAGAATCCAAAAATGCAAAAAAATACAGGGTGTTCCATGGAAAATAAGAAAGTTGGTATCGTCTCAAGGAAAACCGAACACCCTGTATAAATGAAAATATAATATTTTAAAAATATTTTTTACTTCGTGAATATTTGTTCCTTACAAATTTTTTGTGACTCCAGTAGTTTCTGAGATAAGTATATGGGTCACCTTACGTGGACCACCCTGTACGTATCACAGCACGGCGTTCTCTATAGAGAACGCCGTGCTGTATGACATCGCTCCATGGCTAGCCGCTAGCGCGCCTGGGCGTGGAAATACAAAACAATGTCTGAGTTTGATCCCTACATTAATGATGAAAGTTACTTCTTTTAAAAGTCGAATTTAATATACACTGTTTATAATGTTTACGCATACAGCGAATTAAAAAAAACTAAATTTATGATATTTTGAAAAAAAAACACAAAATCTAGACTAGATAGAAAAAATCGGCCACCTGGAACAAATTCAGAACATTAAAATCTTCATATTTATGATGAAATTTTTTGAAGGAGGATTTCGTTGCAGACCAGTGTTATTAAAACACAATGTACGTTAGTAAGTAGTGGATGGATGGATTAATAAGGAAATAATTATTTCCTTATTTTTCTTTATTTTAGATCGTTTTGATACAATAGCCAGTTTCAGTTTAAAAAAAGACTTTTGCTACTATATAAATAGCTCTGGTAATAATTAAGGACAGACAGTATCAGCCATATTTGACCTTAACGATAAGGCTATAGAGCTTTTGCTTGATTTTACCTTATTTTATACGAAACGAAACTAATTTGCTGTGTCTATTTTTAAACAAACAATAATGATGATTACGCCTGCTAAAGTAGTTATTTGTTGGTTTTTTAGAGTTTTAATTAGTTTTTTAGATTATGTGATGAGATAATCACAAACGGATTTTATTTAGATCATCAATAAAATGAAAATATTTTATCGTTGATATTTTTCTTAAAACTAAAGGTTAAATGTTAATACTACAACTATAATTAAGGTTATACATTTTAAAAATAATTTAAAATAATATAGGGTGTCTCAAAATTACCAAACCAAACGAAAGTGGTCGATTGCTTGTAAAAATCTAAGATTTTCGAATTAGCAATATTGCAGGAGTTACTTAATTTTTAAGGTCGCCAATGAGGGTGTGCCAAAATTGGTAAAATCACAAAATTGGTGCCCCAAAGGGTAAAAGTTAAATCCTTTAAAACTTTTAAGACGGGTTTTTCCTTACCATTTTTTTAAATTAACAAAATTGCTAGAGTAATTTAATTTTTAAACCACCAATAAAAGCTCAGTGTTTCTGCTCCATAGAGCGAGCCCCGTCTTTTGAATCAGCGCTTACGACAATACGCACAAATTTGTTTTTGTCTACTCTTTTTTTATTATACAATATCAGCGTCTTTCGCAAACATAAAAAACATAACAAAAGTATGTTCGATAGAGCAGCAATTTTGAATTTTTCGAATTAAAAAAAATGGAAAACTCGTCTTAGATTTTTGCAAGGAATCGACCCCTTTCGTTTGGAGCGGTGATTTTGGTAAACCCTACTCTTTTTTTATTATATCAGTACGAATAATGTCTAGCTAGTCGAGTGTGTTAAAGAAATATCTTGCCATTCAGAGAATTTCAGGACTGAACTTAAAGGATATACCTCTCCAGGACGTCTGTAGGCTTTTTTTGAATGGCCAGGCAGTTGTGGCCGGCACTCGGCCAACTATACACAGCCGACATTCGGCCGAGTAAACACAGCCAACATTCGGCCAGGCGGACATGCCCGTTCTACAAGCCGGAAGAAATACGCGGCCGATTCGGCAAACCGTATTCGGGCCGTATGCGGGCCGGCTAGCTTGTGCTTACTTGGCAATATCAGCGTCTTTTGCAAACATAAAAAACATAACAAAAGCACATTCCATAGAGCAGCAATTTTGAATTTTTTTAATTAAAATTGGAAAACTAGTGTTAGATTTTCGCAAGGAATCGACCCCTTTCGTTTTGTCCGGTGATTTTGTTTAACCCTGTGTATTGTTATATTTTTTATTTAATAAATAATATCACATTAATGCAAAATATTTTTAGTAAATAAAAATTCAAATCAAAATATTAATTCTAGAACAAATTTTCGTAATAATAATATTTAATTTCATATTGGAGATTAAAACTGGCTGTAGCTCTTAAAAATCAAGTTTGCAATTTATTAAAAAAATAATAGTTTATTATAGTTCCGATGCCCGATCTTTAATTATTAGTTAAAAAAATATACATACTTTATTATTAAAAATAACATATAATTTTCATGCTTTTAGTTACTTGAGGGTTCTGATTATGATTGGCCCGAAATTCCGTGGTCGAGTTCAGAAAGCGATTTCTCTGGCAAGTACCGTCTTCAGCCGCCGGAATCTCACCATCGCCATTTTGGAAAGCTAATCAAGGTTGTAGTAAATCTCTTTGAAACAATCATAAATAATAATAAGTTGTTTCACCATTAGGTTCAATCTGAAGATACCGGCGAAACGCTAAGACCCTGCGTGGCCAAAAGTTACAGTTTTGGAGGATATGGAGGCGTACTTAGTAGGGGCGATAGCATTATGTCCACGCACAGTGCCGGACCAAGACTGCTCACAAAACAAGGTATGTTTTTTTATGTTTTTTGTATTCCTTCTTATTCCTTCTTATGTATTCTTATTCCTTCTTATGTATTCCTTCTTATGTTTTTTGTATTCCTAACTATAGTTAGGGAGCTAGTGGCAATTTCGGTATATGATTTGCTCGTCGTTGGGAATGATATGTTATAGAGTTTTGATGCTTGTGAACTGAGTAAATAAGGTGGCAGGCTTAGGTATCGCTGCTTTTTTTGATTAGTTTTCAAAATTCTAAAAAATAAAGCCTAACCTAAGTCATTTGCTCGTGTCTGGCATTTAGGTTTTATACTAAATTGACCATATTGATACTAAAATAACATTTGCCAGACGTCTAGGACGCTGCGTTTTTTTTAATAATTTTATTTATTATTAATGTTCTTTATTGAAGTTATGTAAAAAACAAATAATTTGCTCGTCTTTATCTTATTTTTTTAATTGTTCAATTTTGTCCCCTAAATAAGAAAAAAATAATGCCAGACATGGATGTCTCTGCTTTTTGCAACAAATAATTTTTAAAATTGTAAAAAATAATACCTAGCCTAAGGCATTTTCCTCGTGTCTGCCATTTAGGTTTTAAGTTAAATTGGCTATATATATATCTATAGCTTTATATGTGTATATACTAAAAAAACATTTGCCAGCCGTCAAAGACGCTCACGGTAGGCCTGAAACCAGTTGTTTACGCTTGGCCCATATATTATAAATTATCTGTTTAACAAGTGCATAATATTTACAAGTAAAAGCAATTACCAAGAAAAGGGAGAATCAATTCTGCTAGGACATCTGGAAGATATTAGCCATCAAGTGGCTGCAACGCCCTCCCTTTTTTGGTATTTTATACCTAGATTTTAGTATTTTAACATTAAGATTTCAAACTTAGTCATATACACAACCATGTTAAAATAAAGTTTTGTTTTTTGTTAAACCATCTTTTAATCGCGCAACATACTCAACATACTCAACGCAACATAAACAATTAAAATTCAAATCATCAATCATCGAAAAGTTTTGTGCGTGTAACAAGGACAAGGGTATAAAAACAGTGACTTACGCGAGTGCACACAACAAGCATCTCTAGAAATCAATACATTAAACGCAATTACTCATCAGCAAAGGATTATCACTCTAACAACATTTTACATCTGGACCCTAGAAGCACGAAGCCCAAAGTCAACAGTAGCAAATCATCAGGTGAGGTCGTTCCTCTCATACATTCATTAGTGCTAATTTGTTGTCGCTCCAATTTGGGATTTTTAACGGAAAGTTTTCTAGAGCTAGGGTTGTGCAATGCAATCTTATTAAATCATAATCATATGCATCATTAACATAACACAATTTTACGCATTTTAATCATCGCAATTCATTATTTCATTAAATTTATCATTAATCACAGAAACTCGCAAAAATGTCAGTTCTTACATCATTTTCTTTAGAAGAATTAAAAAGAAAACGTGGCGCCCTTAAGGCTAAAGTCACACATTTTGTAAAATATTTAGCAAGCATCCAAGAAAGGAATGATCATCTCGCTGACGTAGACATTTTAACTTTGCAAGAACGTTTAAATCATTCAAAAAATATAATTTTCGAGTTTGAAAACATACAGGGTTTAATTGAAGACAAAACAACCGACGAAAGTTTATTGCAAATCGAATATGAAGAGCGCGATACATTCGAATCTAATTTTCATATGCAAATAGCAACAGCAAAACATATTATAAAAGAATCTACATTATCTTTAGACAATGAGTCCGGAATTAATTTAGTTACGAGCAACCCTGTACACAGCCCTCATGAAAACAATACTTTCAAATTTGCAGGCATAAAATTAAAACCCATTGAAATTCCCAAATTTAACGGTTCTTACCAAAATTGGTTAGAATTTGCGGATTTATTTGAATCGTTAGTGCATAAAAATGAGGCCTTGGATAACATTCAAAAATTTCATTACTTAAGATCATCCTTGGAAGCTGGTGCCGCACAAGTTGTCCGTTCAATTGAATTCACAAGCAGCAACTACATTGTAGCTTGGGATCTTATTCGCGAAAGGTATGATAACAAACGCCTTTTAGTACTAAATCATGTAAAATCACTTTTTAACGTAGAACCAATGCATAAAGAATCATCATACAAATTACGCAATTTAATCGACACTTACTCTAAACATCTACATTCCCTAAAACAAATGGGCCAACAAACCGATCACTGGGACGTATTACTTATTCACATTATAACAACCAAACTAGATTCATCCACTTTACGCGAATGGGAAAACGCCAAGTCAAACGCTAATAAAGAGGTACCTACATTTCATGATCTTAAAACATTTTTAAAGTCCCGCGCAGATTTATTAGAAACTTTAGAAAATAATCAAGCAGACAAAAGGTCTCATTACCAAAGTTCATACAATAATAATTTAAGAGGGGCATTTAATCACACACGCAATCATTATTCATCTCACCATACTTCAAACTCACATTTTAATTCAAATAAACACCCTGTAAATCAGAACAAGAATTTTAACAATGCGCCTCAAGGCTTGGTTTGTCCCATATGCAAAAATTCCCATGTAATATATAATTGCAAGGATTTCATGAATTCATTACCGAGTGAAAGATGCGAAAAGGCAAAAAATGCGCATTTATGCGTTAATTGTTTGAAACTTGGCCACTACAGCCGAAATTGTCGTCACATTATTTCTTGTAAGACATGTAACGGGCGGCATCACACACTATTACATATTAATCGCGTTCAAGGCAATGATCGCTCACGTGAAACTACCTCTAATCCTGTCGTTTTAACCCCAATCGAGCCATCTACTTCGTTAACAAATTGTTCATTCTCTAACAACACGGTACAATGTCAGGTAATCTTACCAACCGCTCTAATAAACGTTTATGACAGATACAATAAAATGCATACAGCCAGAGCACTTCTGGATTCCGGCTCACAAAGTTCATTTTTATCTGCCGAATTGCACAATAAATTAGGTATTGCAACCGAGCAGGTTGATTGGACAGTGTCCGGCATAACCAATATTTCACGCAAATTAGAGGAAAGGTGCAATTTAAAATTATCATCTAAAATAAACGATTTTTGTGCACAACTACAGTGCTTCATTGTTCCCCAGATTTCGGGTCATCTACCGTCTGCGCCCTTAAATACAAAAAATTTAAACATCCCAGAGAACTTGCCGTTGGCAGACCACATGTTTGCTAAACCCCAAAAAATCGACATCCTTATCGGAAGTGACCTGTTTTGGAGCCTTGTGGGTCAAAGCACCTTTAGTCTAGGTAAAAACAAACCAATAATGCACCAAACATTATTCGGTTGGGTTATAGCAGGGCCGTACTTTGTACCATTTCCAGCGCGCAACGAAGTAAAGTGCAATTTTTTAACTTCATCTGCCGAAACTCAAATTCAAAATCAGTTAGCGCGATTTTGGGAATTAGAGGAAATTGCCGAAAGGCAAATTTTATCCAAAGAAGAGATTGCCTGCGAACAGCATTTTCATAGTACTACTCGACGAGACTCCACGGGTAGATTTATAGTAGCCCTTCCTTTTAATAACCACCCCGAAAAATTAGGTAATTCCTATCTATCACGAAATCGATATTTTAATTTAGAGAAAAAACTTAATTCAAATCCTAAAGTAAAAACATTTTACGAAGAAATACAACCATTAACGAATAATTCCCCTGTTAAAAACTCAAGCAAATTGAAAAATTTATCTCCATTTGTTGACAGAGAAGGTATTCTTCGCGTGGGGGGTCGCTTGCAAAATTCTCAGTTTTCTTACGAAAAACGACATCCAAGTATAATTGCATCCAATCACCCGCTTACAAGGCTTATTTTTCATTACTTTCATTATCAAAAATTATTTCATGCCGGGCCGCAACACCTCTTAGCAGATATTCGAGAAAGTCACTGGCCAATAGGGGGAAGGGACATAGCCCGCCGCACAGTTCATAATTGCACGGTTTGTTTTCGAGCTAAACCAAAAGGTATACAGCCCCTTATGGGAAATTTACCCGCACAGCGACTATTGCCCGGGCCACCATTTGTAGTAAGCGGCGTTGACTACGCAGGTCCGTACTTACTCCGAGACCGAAAGGGTCGCGGTTGTAAACAAATCAAAGGCTACATTTGCATATTTGTTTGTTTTAGTACTAAGGCGGTACATATTGAAGTTGTTACGGATTTATCCAAGAAAACATTTTTGTTAGCACTAAAACGATTTATGTCACGTAGGGGAAAACCCCGACAAATTTTCTCGGACAATGGTAAGAATTTTGTCTCTGCAAGTGCGGATTTTAAAGAACTTAGCTCATTTCTTAAATTAAATAAGTCTAGTATCGTTAATTCATTGTCTAAAGACGAGATAGAATGGAAATTCTCACCTCCTTATTCGCCACATTTTGGCGGTCTTTGGGAGGCAGGAGTTAAATTAATTAAACATCATCTCAAAAGAGTTATATCAAATGCACACCTTACTTATGAAGAATTTTATTCGTTATTAACCCAAATTGAGGCAATAATAAATTCGCGCCCATTGACGCCGCTGTCAGCCGATCCCAATGATTACACAGCTTTAACCCCAGCGCATTTTCTTATTGGTCGTCCAATAACCACAACAGGCGAAAAACAATTCACAAGCATCCCGATAAATCGACTTACACGCTATCAGCTGACACAACAGCTATCACAACATATGTGGGAACGCTGGAACAAAGAGTATATTTCCGAGTTACAGAAAAGAACCAAATGGGTATCTACTAAAGGAGATAAGGTTGACGAAGGCCACCTAGTTTTAATCAAAGAGGACAATTTGCCACCCATGAGGTGGAAACTTGGTCGCATCATTGAAGTGATTTGTGGTCGCGATGGTGTAGCACGTGTTTTTAAAATTAAAACTTCTAGTGGTGTCGTAACACGATCTTTTAACTTAAAGTTAAGTTAAAAGCAGTGAACAAACTAAATATATTGAACTCA